AGAAAGGAGCACCTTCTATCGTGACTCCATAATCGCTAGGAAAATGCTGTTGAACAGGACAGGATGACACAACATTGAAAGACCGGCTCCACCCCAGTTACCAGCCCTCAGAGTCTCACAATGGAGTATTTATTCCAGGACAAGCAGTTGTGGCTAATGCTTGACAATGGGCTCACTCCTCCTCCTCCCAGATAGATGGCCAGCGCTGGAAAATGTGGGCTAGAACGGAAGGGAAGAACCCCTTTGAGAGGAACTCCGTGTGCAAGTCACTCAGTTTTTCCCTGGAAAAAGACTTAAGCCAGTCTGAGTTTTGTTTTCCAGCTCAGGTAGATGCCCCTTCCCCCTAAGCCAACCAGCTGACAAGTGAATGTAACTTCAACCCTCACATAAAATAAAGGTTGGCAGTAGTTTAAGCAGGCCATGCATAAATAAGAAGATAGCTGCGCAGAGGACTCTGGCTAGCCTTCTGTGGCACTGACAGCGTCGGTGAGTGGGGTAAGAGGGAGAGAGCAGGAACGTTGTGAAGCGCAGCTTGAATGCCCGGCAAGAGCCTGGCAGAAGTGTCTGCCTTTGAGCCACTCGCAGTACACCAGGATGGCTGGGTGCCGGATGCAACACAGCTTAAACCTTTCCCCCTTACTGCAAGCCAGGGTTCACAACTGCAGAAAAGCCACATTCTAGTCTGATAGGAAAGGGGGGAAAAAAAAAGAAGTCAGGTTTCTGTTCCAGCTACAGCAAGTATTTTCCCTGTGCCTGTTACTGAGTCACTATGCTGTGACTGGGAGCCAAATTACAGATGCTCCCTACCCACTGGGAACGTCATGATAGCCTATTTAACACATCAGGTGAAGTATGGAGAGTTTTCAAGTTCTGAATCTTTGCCGCAGAAGCAATAGCAGGCTGTAGAAAGCCATGACAACTCCTTACGCTGCCTTCAGTCTGACACGCTACTGAACACCACACGTAGACTGTGCTGTCAGTCCAGACGTGTTCAATTGTTTCTGTCTGCTTTTCTGTTGCGTGACAGCTGTCCTTCTTGGAACGAAATGTTAAATTTATGAGCATGAGCCTTTTAAAACGCTCCTCAGTGGTCATGTACGCGTTGCCTTTACACACGCAGGACCAGGCGCTCCTCTCCTTTAGGGCCCAGCTGAGCACCGGTGGCAATGCCTCCAGTGGCGTCTGTTCCACGAGGAGGAGGGCAGGTACAGCCAGCCCCCAGGCTGGATGTGGCACGGGCAGAAGCAGCACACGGCTGGCAGCAGGAAGCTCCCAGAGCCCGACGGAGCCGATTGCTCTAGCTGAGCAGTGGGACGTGAAGGGCCATGCTTTCCAAACGTATACCAAACAGCTTATGTTGTTCACAGGCTCCACTACCCCTAGCAAAATGGCGAAGAGAGGAATCACAATGACACAACAAGAAGAACAAATACAGCGCAACTCCCCAAAACTGTTCAATGAATCATTGGTTATAGGCTCCTCCTCAAACCACCTGCGCCAACAGCACCGAATGCACGGTGCTCGATAGGGATCGTCCAGCCCCCTGGGAACAGGCCCTGGCTCTGTCCAGGCCGTTCTGCCAGATCTGCCCTGAGGAGACGGATTTCACCCCATCACTGTCATCGCCCGTGTTCCCCCCGCCCCGTCCCTCCCCCATTTCAAAAGGACAAAGAGCCGATTGCAGCATTCTGCAGTTCTGGGATTTAGATCTAGATTCTGCAGATTCTAGGACTTACTGTAATCCCCACCTGGTGCTTCACTTATTTTTACAAATATTGTCTCACCTCCCAGGCTTTTTCAATGTCTTAGATTTTTGTTGGTGTTTTGTAATTTAAGAATTCAAAATCCCAAACCAGGTAAAAGGGGGGAAACCTCCAAACACTCATGTCTAGTTTAGGTAAGTCTTTTTTTTCCTGTTACCTGCCCCCGCCTCCCAGTTTCTGCATCTTCTGAGCAATACTGATACTTCCACCTCATCATAACAATTTTCACAGTTATCAGGGAACAGAATCAGTAATAGTGACACTGAGTGACATCATTGCAGTATTACTAACCTCTGAGAAGAGGCTGACAAGTCATGCAGAGTATAAACCTTCTAAGTAACAGCTTACTAGCTTCACCACAATTTTCTTAGATATTGAGGCCAAAGACAACCAGCAGTGTATTTACTGACTGCCCTGTAGCTTTTCAGCTGTTTTTTCAGAATACGGAAACAGAGTCTTCTACGGAGCATAGAACAGGAAGAGAAGCTAAATATAGCTATCGTTCTGTTGTAAAGCATGGCTTCCTGATAACAGGAGCCAAATAACCCAGATCCATTACCCATATTTTCACTCAGTCTGGATAGCTTGATACTTCAGACCAAGCCCGCTTACTTCCATCCATCTTAAATCATTCACAAATCATACCAAAATACTGTTCCTTAAGTATTCATACCCAGACGAGGTTAGATAAAGGTAAATGGTGAGACAGATTTATTTATTTGGTGCTACTTACTGTTTTGGTGAATAAATCTCATCTACCCAACATAGAATCTCCAACCAGAGGTGGTTTGGGGACATCAACAACATTGCTGGGCAGCCCCCTGGCTTTTCATCCCCTGTCTTTTCTATGAGCATCTGGGGCTTATTTGAAAAAGTCAGTATCATCACACAAAAATAAATTACTTCCTTTGCTTTTACATAATTTGACCTCAGTCCAGATTTATTTTTTTGTTTGTTTCTCACAACATAATCTTTTCTCACAGCCTTGTTCTGAGAAACATACTCCAGAGACACTCCTTAGGAGAGAAGTTGGCACATATTGTACAGGCATCTGAATCACAGTGTTATTTTTCCTTAGTGGTCCTTCTGTAAATGAAGCACCATTTTTACTCCCCAAGCCATTAAAAGATGTTTTAGTGACTGGTATTGGGAGTTCCATAAATTCTCAATAATGAAAACTTCCAGTGAGTATTTCCTACTTCCCTTGATCTATGCAAATGCTTATTTTAATTAAAGCAATAATAGACATATCAGAAAGATGTACCCATCAAAGAACCTGACAGCCTTTAGCATTTGCCCAGCTGGTTCCTAGTATATTGAGAAGAACACTTTGGAAAAAGTAAGATTTCTTTGTAGAAATTGCTCCATTCAAGGCCCAGTGAGTGCATAGTAAATAAGTGAGCTGATTTTTTACCTGCAAAGATTAAATCATACTGTGATAATTTTCTTAGTCTGAGAGCAGGCTCCCTGAAGTAAACATGAAGCTCAAAAATCTAGTCTTAAGTCTGACATGAAAATGGGTTTCATAGTTTCATCTTTTAATCGAAAAACCAAGACCTTTTGCCTGAAGTTAGACAGAATTTAGCTATTGAAAACAATAGGAGTATAGCCAGTGCCACACCTAAATTAGTAGTAACTTACTTTAAGTTTGATGTATATTTTACAACAGAACCCCAAACACACTCTGCCAGAGACAATACCTGTCTGTGTTCAATCTTATTGGTACCTTCAGGAAAAAAGGCATCTGAGAGCCCTCTCACAAGTTGACAACCCTTCCAGTTGCACCCCACAAGAATTGCATATATACTTAAATAGGATTTCTAGTATTACTACCGTCATCCTAAAAAGATACTTGCCTAAAAACATTAGGTCTGGCTCTCCAGTCTGATAAAACTGCTTTATATCCTCCTGTTTCTGCAAAGAAGCCTAAAGCTGACAGGCCCAGGCTGTGGTTCCAACTACATTTCTTCAGCATCAGTGATGGCTCAAGATGTCCCTGTTCTGCCAGCTTCCTTGTATCTGCACAATTGTTGGTGTGGCTTGTGATGAACCAGATCAGGGAATTAGTCTAGATGAACAGTGACCTGGGTTTCTTTCAGGTGTGTCATTTCTGTAAGGATGGCAGCTGCAAAAACCAGCTTATTCAGTGTTGCCACTTAACCTGAAGCCATAGCTCTGGACGGTTCAAGACAGCGTTGGACAGTTCAGTATCACGTACTTCATGGGGTTTTGTGGTTGTACAAGGTAAAATTTTAGATGTTTCTGGGCTGCCTGAAAGATTCAGCAGAGATCTGCTATATGGATCAAAACAAAGCCTCAAACATCTTTAAAAGAAGGCTTATTTCAAATTTGAATGAAAATTTCCTGAGCTTTACCCTCTGAGCAAAGTGGAAACTGTTGTCCATCTGAAAATACATGGAATTCTCATGTCCACACAGGGACAGCAATGGAATTGCATCTATCACTATTTGCTAGGAATGAAGATTGGTGTGAAAATCAAGTTCTACAGGACAATACACCAAGTCTAAATATGAAAGAGAAGGTATCTAGTGTCTGTTGCAGAGCTGCAGAGCCTGCTTTAAAAGAGGTGCTTGCTTGAATAAAATGTTGTGTGCTAAGTGAGGTTCCACTTGAGCTCAGGAGTTTGCCTGCCACATGTATCATAATTTTAAGTGGAAATTTTGCCTCAGCTCAGATGGAATGCTGGGCTTTGAAGGAACACATTATCCTTGGAGAACACAAAATGACACAACATACGGAGCAAGTCCACTGAAACTTTTTTTGGTCATTCGCCTTTCTTCAGAGATACCAGCTGCAACGCACTGCCTCCATAATAATTCACTACCTACTGCAAATCTATAAATTGTCTGAATGCTTCAAAATAACAAATTGCTAGCTCAACTTTCCCAAAGAAAAGACAATTCACTAGAACTTTTCCATTGCACACAGCTGTTATTAACGTCAGCTGATTCGTTACGTGTTTTCATATCAGTCTTTACAAAGAAGTATTTTGTAGTGTGAAGAAGGGACATGTGTTGTAAAAACGATGATCCAGAACTAAGAAGGATATCTACACATGACCTGAGCCCAGATAATGAAGTGTCTCATCCACATTAGTAAAACATTAACAGAGGTTATTGGTTGTCATAGTAAAATGAGAGGCTGCACTGAACGTAATTTCATTTACAGACGTTCAGAAAATCAACATCACGGCTGCGAGAACATATAAATAATCAGCACACTGCATTTCTGAGCGACGGCAGCAACATCTCTGAAGGGAGCATTCTACAGGCTCAGCTCCTCTAAGGGCACAGCAGAAACTGGATTTTGTAACGTACACCGAGAAGCTCCTTTTTAGAAAACAGTTCTGAGAACGTCTGAGAGATTTTTCCTCTGCCTTTAATTGTATTTGCCATTTCTTTAAAAAAGCATGTGCACAGGAGATTGTGCTAAGTGCCTGGGAACCACTCTTATTCCCCTGGCTGTGCTATGTACCCTCGCTAACATTTTGTTGTTTTTTCCTGGAGGAAAAGTGGTTGAAAACAATCAACACATTACAGATGAGGTTTGGTACTTCGGAGGGATCTTGGGATCTGGTGTATCGGTGAGTACATAAATTCAGGCATTCCCACCTTTCCCCCCCCACTCACATCATGACTTTGCATTGCTGAATTTCCTCAGTACCCCACATGCAGGTTCCAACACTGCAAATTTGTCTTTGATAAGCAAAGAAGTTACAAGTCATCCAACAGTTTTGCAATAAGTAACTTAATTTAGTGATAAGAAAAAGACATAGAACAATTATATTTAAAAGCAAATGTAACTTGAATTCATCCCAATTCAAACTGTATTTCTGTTATTGGTAGATGATCTTTCCCGCCTTGGTATTTTTGGGCCTTAAGAATAATGATTGCTGTGGATGCTGTGGTAATGAGAGCTGTGGAAAGAGGTTTGCGGTAAGTGAGAGGAAACATGGCAAAAAAGTAAAAGCTAAATTGTTACCGATATGATATATGTGTCTTCTGCTCACAGTCATTGAGAGACTAGACAGATGCTGTCCAGTGTAGGACACAGAGCCCTGCCATTTGTCTGAGCGCTGGAAAGTAGAAATAGCAGGCTGTTCTATTAATAATGAAATAAAATAATAAAAATTGTATTATGCCTTTGATGACGTGCCACAGGTACCACAACTGTACTGCCTTGTTGTATTTTGCTATCACAAGATACTATAGTTGCTATCACAATTAAAACTAATTTCTGAAAGATCTGCACTTTGTTTTGCAGAGCATTAACAGTTCTCTCTTTAGCCATTTTTTGGTGGCAGTTTTTAAAATTATTCTGACAGCTGGGGACTACACTCCCAACTCATTGCAGACCCACACAATGGGCTGCGAGTATCTCACTAGGTTCCTAGGAAATTTCAGGTTGGAAGAGACCTCGGAGGGTCACTTAATCCAACCTCCTGCTTAAAGCTAGGTAGACCAAGCTCCACTTTGATGTTACAGCTTCCTTTCACACTAGAAGTGAAAAGTTTCAAATGGATACCTTCAGACATTAGTAAAGATTTCAAGCAGTTTAGTTTAAAAATGAGATTAGAGAAAAAATAAATATATTTCTACTAGGAGATTTCTACCGTCCTTTCAAAATAAATTGTTTGGCTCAATTAGATCGTTACACTTTTTTATAAAGGAACAGGTTTTCAATTGAAAAAAAGGGGAAAAACAAATAGGAAGAGGATCACGACTGTGAGGTTAACAAGGAGCCTTCCCTAAATCCTGTCTTTGATGCTGTCTTCATGCAATCCCAACAAAGCAAGCGGAACTTCAAGGGTGGGGGGAGTGGAGCCACGTATTTCTCTTCACCATACTGTACTATCAATTTTCTGCTAGCAGTGAGCATATCTTAGTTCAGCTTTGAAGACCACTCATAACTGAGCGACTACCCACCTACTAATGCTTTGCTGCCAGGCTGCCCCTCGCACCTCTGCCATGCAGCTGAACTGGGTGCGCGGTTACGCGCGGGGGTGACGCTCGCTGCCTGTGCTCCTGCTGTCGCGCGTAAGCTAAAGCGTGGACGCGTGGTGCTGCCTGTAAGGCAACCTACACTCCGCCACGCAGCGCCTTGTTGCCAACTCACGTCAGAGTGCAGCTGACTGCCAGACCGGGAATATTAATAGAGTCACAAGCACTAAGTACGCTGGACTAGTCTTGGTGGCCTTACCACAGCGTGACTGAGAACTGAATTTCTTCTTGTACATTAGCAGAAACACCATTATTGCTATATCTACTACATAAACATAATGTTTAAGTTAGCCCCATCAGATATATCAACATAAAAATGCATATCAACAAGAGTCTCGTGATGAGGTCTGAGTAAAAGCTCACAGACCTGAAAGTGTGTTTCTTTTCTTCCTCCACCTGTATCACTTTGATCCCATAAAAGACGCTACCTCTGCCTACAAACTGTTATGGCTACAAGCGCCTCAGAATTCAAGCAGGGCATTAGTTTTTGCATGATTTACTTACATATTAGCATATATGAAAATGCTGTAATGGAAAGCCAGAAAAATAAAGACATCCTTTCCGATCCGTTCCAATTGCACTATTAAAGCTAATGATGACAAGCACCTGCGAGGAGATAAAGTATACTTATATGAAACCTGAAGGGGAGACTCAGAAAGGGAAAATACAATTACTTGATCCAAATATGACCAAGATACCAAAGCTAACACTTAAAGGGTACTGGAGATTTTTTTTTAATGCCTTGAGTGGTCCAAGACTTCAGTCTTGCTTACAATCTCTTGAGAAAGAAATCCGCTCAGTGAAACACAGGGCCCTGAACATCAGCGAGGTCTACGGGATAACCGCTGTCTAAAGGGGAGGAGTGCCATCTGCTGTGTCAGCATTCACCCCTTTCCTTTTCAGCCAAATGGTGCTAATTCTTTTAAAGCTTCTAAATACCAGTGCAGGCGTGTGTTATACATTTACTATGTAATTGCAAACTAATATATTTTAGCTGTTCAGGAGTTGACTATTTTGACCGTTAAGAGCTGAATTTAGGGAATGTACATTCACATTAATAGGGTACATGTCATTGTTTGAATGAGGACAAAACTAACATTCTTTTTCTCTTCATCAGATGTTTTCTTCTATAATATTTGCTGCAGTTGGAGTTCTGGGAGCTGGATACTCCTTTGCTTTGTCAGCAGTAGCCCTAAACAGAGGCCCTAAATGTTACACTGGAACAGAGTGGACCTATCCTTTCCAGGATGGGTAAGACAAGATAATCAGAAAAAAAAGTTATGCATGTTTTAAGTTTGTGATATGATTTAACTTCCAAACCCGTTGCATAAAAATGGGAATTATACTGTTTGTCTAAAACACAGAAGCTCTCAGAAGAGCCAGCAATGCACAGCAATACTAAATAAGGTTCAAGAGCATGGATGTAAAGACAAGCAAGTACAATCAAAACTACTGAGTTTCAAAGGAGCCAATAAAGAGAAATGCACAACCTTCTAGGTTATTCTTGGGATGATAAGCAGTATACGGGGATAAATTCCACCTAGATGAATAGCAGTGGCATCTTATATTGAAATTTGATGGTATTCAAATAATTAGTATCTATATGTCATTTTATCTTGGTTATGGAATTTGGAAGTTGTCTGTTCCTCACCCTCTGCAACTCAAACATGCTTGCTGTCACGTATATTTATCACTTTCAGAGAGGTGGTGTGCGGAACATGAAACCCTAGCAATCCAATTGCTCAGGGCTGAAGTCAGCAGAGGTCCAACGGAAAACAGGGTACAATGTGCCACCAAGGAGAGTAGGACAGATCGATGAGGGGTGCAGTAGCCCCTCATCACCTGAGAATCTTTAATGCGGTCTTCCTCAGTCAAGAGTGACCTAGCAGCGTGTCTTGCACAATACACCACAAAAGTATAGTTCCGGTTAAAAAGAAAAGAAGTACAATGTTGTACGTTACACATTATTTGTTCACAGGCCAGTGAGGGCTGGAAACCAATGACTTTGGTCTAATTCAGGGAGTATTTGGAAAAATACAGAATCATAGAATCATAGAATCGTTTAGGTTGGAAAAGACCTTTAAGATCATCCAGTCTAACCATTAACCTACACTACCAAGTCCACACTAAACCGGCTGCAGTCAAGGAATCACTTGACAGGAACACAAGAAACAAAACAGCATTAAGAATATGCAGAGATATAGTAAGTGGTTAAGCAGTTCACAGTTAAACCAAAATGTGAAGGTAAAAATTATGGAAAATACTTTTACCTAATACTGCTGTTCTTTAGAGGAGGCATGTAGAACAGCAAAGGTTGTTCTTTTCTGCTCAGTGGGCAAGAGGCGACTGGTCTTGTAGCATTTGATATTTTGTTAGGAAAACTGAGTTTAGTCATCATTTATCATATTGTTTTGATAATTCACTTGTTTTTATTACAATGTAATACAGTAAATTAAGACAAATATTTAGATGTAGACAACCCCAGCCACCCCAGGGTGTCTGCCAAGGAGGAGTTACGGAAGGTGCCACACTCCCGCGGAGACCCTGCGAGCCCCATATCCATAGGGGTGTGCTTGGTGGGCGCGTGGCGTACCGCCAGCTGTCAGCTCCGCTCCACCCAGCAGGGAATCACCACAGCGGTAGCAAAACCGCCTTCCACAAAAGCCACTGGCACCAACACCCATTCGGCACGTGCTTGGCTAAGCTCTCTTCTTCGCAAGATACCAGAAACTGTTCAATTTTATCTAACATATTCTCGTCTCTGACTGTTCCCTTCTGATGCCCTGTCTTTCCAAATCAATTGCTTTAATTGATCTAGAAACTCAAACGAAATTGCGTTCTAGGGAAGTAGCACCAGTGCGATAACGGGAATTCTTTCTCGAAGCGCTGAAGCTAACAGAACATCGCGACAGTGACAACTGGTCAGCCGTGACAGACCCCCTGTCTGTGAGCTAACCGTCGTCTTCATCACTGTTTTTTCTTCCCCCAGGAATTACCTCGCTAACCACACATTGTGGAATGCGTGTCTGTCACCTGAAAACATCATCCCGTGGAACCTGACCCTCTTCTCCTTGCTGCTCATCATGAGTGGGATCCAGGCAGTGCTCTGTGGCATTCAGGTGGTGAACGGCCTGCTTGGAACAATCTGTGGGGACTGCAAATGTTGCGGATGTTGTGGGGTGAGCAACTGATGGTTTTCTTTCATTATGTTGTGTACCGATGATAGTTATATATACACCTGACAAGCTGACAGTCTGAAAAACTAAACTAGCCTTCACTCAGCACCATGATTATGTTTTCTAAAGTACAGCTGAAACCCTACAGTGTTGCCAGGTGCTGAAAATATGATCTCAGTTGATATTTATGGTGTTTATCTGACAGCTTCCCATAGCCATTGGGAAATAATAAACACCTTTGAAAGTCACAGGAATAGCAGCCACTAAGTTACCTCCATGTTTTCATTCTTCCAGGGAGATGGAACTGTCTAAAGAATATGAATATTGCAGGCAACCCTCCTTCTCTTGGGAGGGTCCTTCTGCAGTCGTTCCATAAAGCAGCCCTCAGACGCACCGTCTCTGGCTAAGAAGATGAGAATGAAGGGCACTTCCCACTAATATTATGAAGCCCCGACTCCCTTTCTAGCCTTCCTGAAACCCCTCATCATGGAATAAAATAGGTGAAATTCAACTCTCACATTCATATTTATTTTTGTAAACCAGCTTCCATTTAAAAAGAGGGTATTCTCAGGCAAAATATTTTCTCTCCCGAGTCAGCTTTCCAACTGGGGATCACCAAATGCTGCTGGTACAAGCTCAGTTGTAATGCAGTTGAGTCTACTTTCATTTGAGGTTTATCAGATGGAAATATCGCAAGTCTAACTGGTTTTGAGTACATGTTTACGTTACGTGGAAAAGTGAGGACTGCTCTCTTCCAGACCTGCTATGATTAAAATGCTCCCTATAAAGAGAGTCTCTGTTACAAAAGAGATTCACGAATCTCATGGTGAGGTCTCTTTTCTTGACTGTGTCTGACAGACGGGTGTATTCAGCAGCACTGCTGTACAGGTAAGTGTAGGGTCAAAGTAACAGGCAAACGAGAGTGACGAGGGTCCCTAGTCTGAGGCATTACGAGCCGTCTCAGATACCCTGCTTCACACCAGGAATTCAGTGAGAAAGGCCAATTCACAGCCATTTCTCAGCACAGTGGGGATCTGGCTGCTTCACTAATCCCTAATCAGTCTTCCTCCAGTCACTCTCACCAACGGGAATGTAACAACACGGTATGGCTGTAGAAGATGGAACTGAAAACAGAAAGTATAAGAATACAGGAGGCTTGTAGAGAGACTTTCCCAGCCTACAATTCTTTGTACTCCAGGGACCTCATAAGACAAGATTCCATCTCTGCATTTAACTCTTCTTGAGGGATTCCTTCTCCATGAGGCTGTCCAGTTGTTTCTTGGATCACAATACCCCTTCCATAGTCTAACTTCACATTGTGGGAAGAACCTCCTTTGTTCTGACCCTGCCACCTGCTCCTTTTGTTCAATGCCTCCTAGTTCTTGCCTGCAAGAAAGAGTACACAGCCAGTCCTAGCCCCTTTTCCCCACGATGCCTCATTTCCTAGGTTCTCTCATATCTTCTTTCAGTTGTCTCTTTTTTTAGCCTGAAGAGCATTAGTATATTTCGCCATTCCTCATACAGAAGTTGTTTCACCTTTATTTGAAGCTTTTTCAACTTTCCCCACGACACTCTGAGATGGGAGGGACAGAGCAGCAGTGTTCCAGGTACAGGCACACTGCCCTAGCCATTGATTCTAACAGCGAAGTTCATTAGCTGCAAAGGCAAGGATGAACCACAACCTAATCAGCCACTGCTGTGAATCCCACAGGTCTGGTCTTGTTAGAGAGCAAGCCAATTCCTCATACAGAACATCATCTTCACACACTGGCTTCCAAACAAATGGTAAAGGAAACCTCATTTCTAGAAAATCAAATAAATTTCCAGATCTCTGATACAATATAAAATTGGTACCCATGGAAAGGAGAGGGACACACCCCATTTAAATCCAGGTATGTGATGAGAAAACTCAATTAAAACTTCAACATATGTATTTATTTACATGCTGAAGTATGTCCTATACCTGTAATCCTTGCCTTTAATCTCTCTTGTACAAAAACTGCCCAACCTGTATAATTTAATGATGTAGAAATATACGCAGTAAGTAACCAAATCTGTTTCCACTTGTGAAGTAAAAGGGCTTTTACCCCCCTGTTCATGGCACTAACTAACCAACAGTGATCTCTTGTCTAACAGAGGTGATGCGGTGACTTAGTCACAGATAAACAGGTCTGGGAGGCATCTCTGGAGCCTACCTTTGTATGCAAAGGCAGTGCAAACAACACTTAAATAATTTGTAAGACAACTGTGTAACCTGGTCTTAAAAATCTCTAAGTTCAGAGATCCAACATCTTCAGCATTTTGTAACACCGTTAACTGTTCTGAAAGTTAGAAAGACTTTCTTAATATGTAATCATGCACCCCCCTGGTACAACGAACACCGGACTTGTGACTTCAACACAGGTTACAATTTCTATGCAGTCGACTTGAGTAGCTCGTAAGTCCTGTTCTTAAAGCTTCCAATCTATACATGACTACAAATGCTGTTTATTCATCTTTTTGCAGAAGTTCAATTTGGCTGTCTTTGGCACAGTGCTATGAAAGAGATATTAAAGGGAAAAGAGAGTTGAAAGGCAAACCCACTTTTTAGAAAGAACTAGTCTTTTAAAACTTAAAAAGAAAAAACTATTTCCCAAAGAAATCAAGGAGGAAATAATAGGGACTGGAGAAGTTTGAGGGATTCAGATCAACTGATATGCTTCATAAATTCCTAAAACAAATTTTCACAAACCAGCTGGCCAGGCTGGATGTCTCAAGGCTTCTAGTTCATCAATGTATTTGCCACATCTCTTACCTAAAATATTTCTCTTGAAATAATGATTCCACGGCCTGTGTGTTCAGAAAATGTATTTCATGTACTCTGTATCTACACTAGAGATATCTGAAGAACTTGAAGTATTCAGAAGCGCTAAAAGCTGGTGAGCAATATGCAAAAAATGTTAAATAGCTAGATTTAGGTACTAAGAGTTACATTAATAAAAGCAAAGCGGCCTCAGTGATACATTGTGCAAGATGATAAAAGAAATTATAAAAAAAAACTCTTCAGAAACAGCTGTCTCTCCCACCTGTTCTACTGCATTGCTAGGGAATTTGAGAGCACCCTTTATATCACCACCCACTGATGCAACCATCTTACATCTATTCTTTCATCTGTGGTTAGCAGCTGTCCCGCACCTCATCTCACATTTGTCTTGGTTTATTTATATGAAGCCTTTGGGAACATGGAATGTTTCTCATCAACATTCAACAAAGGGACGGGTAGCTGCATAGTGTACGATTTTGATATATTAATAAACAGAATACATAAATCTTTGCGGGAGACTTGGGGTAAGAAATAACAGACAGGAAGCTATGATACCTAAAACCAAAACCAACGCGTGCCTCATGAATCAATGCTTCTAAGATGCCCAACTACATGGTGGTTTTCTAACGTGAGCCAATACATAGCAGACTGAGACCAGGCGCACGCATTTCACCTTGTGATCTGGACTGCATTTGCACCTTGGCCTTGGGTGTATTGAACAAGCGTAAATGAACTGGAACCAGCAGCTCAGCTGATCTAGCATTTTAAAGTGCCAACAACAGCATTCCAAAATCTGTTCAGTTATGGATAATGTTTGAGGCTCTCCCCTAGCATTTAATTTAAGGGAATCACACATGTCCAGTGTCAGTTCTGCAGTAAGTGGAGATTGCTCTCTGTGTTTCTACTGAGCAAAGTGTCCAGTAAAATCAAGGAGAGAGACTGATCCTAGATTGATGTAACAGAGAAAGGTACGATGAGCCAGTGGTACTCCTGGGAGAGAAGTCACAGGTAAAGAGAGCACAGTGCTAGACAGGGACAGAACGATGATGGCAAGAGAGGAACCACGAACAGGGAGAACTGGAAGTATTAAAACAGACCTCAGTCGGCCTACCCAGACCTCAGTAGTCCTGACCAACTTGAACACCACACTCAGTTTTAGCGTGTACAAACATCAACTGTTACACAGATGTAGAAACCCTAGTAGTCTAAAGGAAAAATACTAGTTATCATTTGTAAAATCTGAGAGATGCACGTTTATCTGAAGCTTCATTATTGACCCATAAAAACTAGCTGCTCGGTGACTGGTTGACCAGGATACTGAGAGCATGGCAATTCTGACATTGCGTGGCATTCTTTCAGCTGAGTTTACATAAAAAGAAACACAGGGGTTATTTAACAACTCAGATTACAACATGGGGAGTGGGTGCATGTGATCTTGAGCCCACGCATTTCAACTTCAGCCTGACAAAACTGGTGCCCCTGCATGGCTAAAATATATACAGTCGGAGCTCTCTTTATTGATTGTCTCCAATAAATAGACTGCAACAAAATGATGCATTAACCACAGTACAGCGTCACCTATCAGGGAGTGATGCATTATTTAACTGGCAACTCTTTGCAAAAGGTTCGTTTCTAAAATTAGGAAGTAACATACACAAAGCTAAAAGACATTTGCTCAGCCAAGAGCAAAGGATGTTTTCTAACATCATTCTAGTCTTGCATGTTCATCACCTGCCCCCAGTTCAACTTTACTTCCCCCTTGATGGCTTCTACGTTACTCATAGTGCAACCAGCAGCAGGGCAAGTGACGGCAAACTCTGGAACAAGCCCTTCTGCCGGAGGATGGGAGGCTGACTTGTTCTGTGACCTTGATATGGGTGGGGTCTTCACCCCGGAGGGCGGACACTGGTATCACAGTGACTTGACAGACATGAATAAAAACCCAGAAAAAACACCTCTGAAGTTTTGTCTTGCCAAATTACTTTTTCACTGGGAGAGGACACGCAATTTAACTGAAATTACAAAAGCTCTGCCAATACAATGGGACTTTCTTATTAGCATCTTCATTATCCTCCAGTTGCGGCTAATTTGCTGCAGGACCCTTTGCTGAAATACACATTGCTCCCATCTGTGGATCCGAACAATCCAAACCGAAACAAATCATTAGCAGGCACTGAAAAATATACAATTAATGAATTGTGCTACTTAGGAGGCGTTCACGGCATTATTTGGAGACTGACGTGCAGAAAAAAGCGCCAGTGAGAGGTGTGCACAGCCTTTGCGTGTGCAAGTTCTGCCCGCGCTCGGATTTCGCGGCTGGCTCCTGGTGCGGGACCGGCGGCACCGCCCGCAGCCCC